CCCCAAAACCCCAAAACCCCAAAACCCCATCTATCCAAGTCAACTAATTGAAGTGATATTATATTTAAATCAAAATATGAAATAATACTGAAGATTATATAAACTTATTGATAATTTAGGACCTATGATGTTTAAAGTATTTAAGAGATTAGATCACACTCTCAATATTTATAATAAAAGATTTATCCACTAAATGGAATAAACATCCTAATCAACTTGGTCCTAATAATAAATCCAGGAAATTGCAGATAGAGCAAGAGTAGCAGTAGATATTAAAGATAGGAGGCACAGGTTCAACACCTATAGCTAATGTTTCATCGGCAGAGAACTTGTCAAATGGTTCTTGGTCAATGGGGTAATTGACTTTTCTATATATTATCGCATATTTATAGCATGCAAAGACTCAAGTGGAAGCTACTGAACTTGGACAACAATTAGTAGAGCATAATTTGATCCAACATGTATCAGAAGACAAGCCCTTTTAGAACGAGCCTATCTTTTACAGGTTCACAGCCCATCTCAAAGACGAGGGAAATACTACTGAAGTAAGTTTACATCTTATTTTAAAGCTAAATCATTTCATAGAATGAGTCCTGGCATTCAGTATTACCTAACCTTAATGAAGAGAGAATTGAAGGAAAGGATCTTGAAAAAATTGTTGGAGAATAGACTGATTTTCATTAAAAGAAAGAGGGAGGGATTCCTGAGATGCTTTTCGATATCCATAATTGTGATCTATTTGATCAAGTAAGACCAATAAAATGGGTTGATCCTCAACAAAAAGTAAGATTTACTAATAATTCAACTCATTTATAGAACACATATGATATGTTGGTAATAGGTGCAGGAGCAGGTGGTCTTGTAACAGCTGCTGGATCTAAGGGTGTTGGTGCTAAGGTGGCAATCATTGAAAGGCAATACATGGGAGGAGATTGCTTGGTGAATGGATGTGTCCCATCTAAAGCCTTTTTAGCTGCTGCCAATGTCGCTCACACAGTTAAAAATTCATCAGACTTTGGGATTCATATTACTGGAGATATTAAGGTTGACTTTGGTAAGGTGATGGAAAGAATGAGAAGAATCAGAGCAGAGATTTCAGAAAATGACTCAGCTCAAAGATTCCATAAATTTTTGGGTGTTGATACATATCTTGGAGAAGCTAAATTCACAGGAAGAAACGAAGTTACCGTTAATGGATAAAAGCTTACCTTCCAAAAATGTGCTATTGCTACTGGCGGTAGACCATATGTTCCCTAAATTGAAGGACTTGATTAGATTCATTACTTAACTTCTGAAAATGTCTTCAATCTTACTCAATAACCTAAAACATTGGCTATTATTGGAAGTGGCCCTATTGGTTGTGAACTTGGATAAGGCTTCTAAAGACTTGGAACATAAGTTCATATTATTGAAAGATCATCAAAGTTCTTACCCAGAGAAGATCCAGATGCTGCACTTTTACTATAGAAATAGATGAAGTTAGATGGAGTTTAGTTTGACTTCTTTGCTAATCCAACTAAAATCGAGATTCTTGAAGACTCAAAGCCTTTTCCTTAAATCTAAATCACTATAGAATAGCAAGGCTAAGTAAAACAACTTATCGTTGAGGCTGTATTAATTGCTGCTGGGAGAAGACCTAACGTTGAGAATATGGGTCTAGATGTTGCTGGAGTAGACTATAATGTTGAAGATGGAGTGAGAGTTGACAACTTCTTAAAAACTTCAAATGATGATGTGTTTGCAGTTGGAGACTGCTGTTCCAAGTATTAATTTACACACAATTCAGATACACATGCAAGATATGTTGTGAGAAACGCTCTTTTCTATGGCTAGAATGATAAGTCTCAAATAATATTGCCTTGGTGCACCTATACAGAGCCTGAAATAGCTCATGTTGGAAAATACGCTAGAGAACTTGAACTAGAAGGAGTTAAGTTTGACACTTACTTCAAATTTATGGACAAATTGGATAGAGCATTGTGTGAAGGTAAATATGGAACGATGAAAATCCATACTGAAGCAGGTACTGACAAAATACTTGGCGCTACACTTGTTGGAGGCTCAGCTGGTGATATGATTTCCCAAATCACTTCTGCTATGTATAATGGAGTTGGACTATCAAAGATGGGAGCCTGTGTTTTCCCCTATCCAACTTATGCTGAGTCATTCAAACATCTTTCAGACTAATATAATAGAAAGAAATTAGCTCCAGCTGAAAGAAGTCTTGTTCCAGGACTCCTTGAAGTCAAACACAACCAATGAGATAAATCATAATTCCTTAATTTCATCAATTTTAACTGAATGTTATAATCTTGCCGGGGTTTTGGGGTTTTGGGGTTTTGGGG